CTTGGTGTATAGAGCTAGGTTCTTCGGTTCAGTGCCACTCTTAGTCTTAGGTACGAAGCAACTGTGGAAGGTGAGCGCCCCGCCGAGGTGAAGCATTTCATTTGGCTTCCACTGCAGGATAGGTGCTGTACAGCAGAACGACGTCGAATGACATAATCTGCAAGATGATGATCGGTGTGCACTCTGTGATCAAGGATCGGAAACAATGGATCACATCATGATTGGTTGTGTCTTCAGTCAAGAAAGTGTGGGTTGACTGTGTTGGGGCGTCTGAACCTTGGTCACTTATCCCCTCGGTTCCGGTGCCCATGTGTGGAATGGTGGTGGTTGCAGGCCTGTAAGCTGCTTCGTAGATTCTGGCAAGGTTTTGATTATCTGGCCCTTCTGGTTTCATGGACAATTTGGAAAGGAAGAAACAACAGAAGCTTCAATGGAGTTGCGTCCAGTTGATGGATTCTGTCGTCTCTGAAACTGACCTCAGGAGCACGGTAGGATTCAAGAAGCTGCAGTTGCTGACCTCTTTGCTATGATGAATGCCTATTCGAGATTTCGAGTAGGGCTTTTAGTCGCAGAGTTGTGACCGGTGATGCTGTGTTTTACTTGTACAGGTACTGTTTATTTAACGCTGGTTCTGTTTCCTGCGTGCCAATGGTAAGTCGAGGCTTGGTTGTCTTGTGTATTGTGCCAGTTTTCTTCTTTCTTGATAGAAAACGTACGCAAACATGGTCGCAGAAAATATATGGCTTCTCTCTCTCTTTTTTTTTGTCACATTAGACTCGACCGCTGTGTAATCCTGTTCGAGCTCCGACACTGATCGGTGATCGCAGCTATTTCGAGACTGGAGCTCGTAGTTGAACATTGAAGCCTGGCTAGTTTATTCATCATGAAGACTAGCACTCGGCAGTGAAGTAAAGGTGCAGGCATGTGTTCCTCGTGACACAACACAAAAAGGCACACTGTTACTAGCAGGCGCGGAGCCACAGGGTATGTCAGCAAGGCAGATCCACCATGTATTAGAGTATATATACTGTTTTGAAAAAAAAAACAAAAGAACACTTACATGTAGGTGAAGAACTGAAAACGAACGCAACACTAGCAGCCTAGCTTTGCCGAGATGGCCTTTGCAGCTTTGCTGCTTTTCTCTAGGGTCCAGGCCCATACGCCCACAGTCACACGGACGGAGATCTAGGACTCCAGGTCCTGTCGTGGTGACACCTCGGCAAGTCCTGACAACTAACGCGATGATGCCTTGGTTTCTAGGATTCAACGCGCCATCTGCCCTCGTCCATTCATCTACCGCAAGTTTGTAGCTAGGGAGTTCGTTTGTTGCCTGCTAGCTGCGTGTGTGCATGGCTAACAAGCAAAGCCGACTGTCTTGAGACACCAAGACGTGATTCAGTCTTTGCTTTTCTCTCTCTTTTTTTCATGTAGAAAAATCTTATCTACTTTTATTGCTAACAACATTGAGTCATCCTTACGTGGTAAATTTTACCACTGCTATTGAATTACTATTACCAAATTATGTTGCAAATTTTACTATTGTTACCAAATTACGTTGCCAATTTTACTACCGTTACCAAATTACTAAATGATTTGCCGAATTGGATACAAAATTTTTGAGCAGCGTACCTTAGGTAAAATCCTAGATTCGCCACCGGTTACTAGTCAAAGCGATCGTCGTCAATTTGTATCTTGTGTAATAGGTACACGATGTGTCGCGCCAGCTGAGTTTTGTCCATTTTGTATCTTGTGGGAAGGAGTGGTCCAGCAGATCAGGGCCAGCTACTCTGTGGTTGGGGATGGATCATGGATCGGCCAGCACGTGAAATGATCCAGCACACACAGGGCTACTTTCCTTATCCATCGCTGCTGCAGAATGGTCGGCGTCCTGACCGCTTGGGGCTCGGCGGTAGCAGTATACTCCTACTACATAGTTGCAGACACGACAGCATATATGCAGACATCTGACCTACTACTAACACCGAGAGATTTGCCAGTAGAGGGCCGTGCGAGTGCGACTGTGGGAGCGATCAAACGGGCGTACTAGTGTGTGCTTGCTGCTTGGCTTGGCGGATAGGTAGGCTAGCTCTTCGTCGTCGCGCTCAGGCTCATCAGCCGTCTCGCTTCAGTCCACTTCTGGACGCCTCGGCCGGAGAGGGCTGCCTACTGCGTGTACTTCTGGACGCACGGGATCGGACTGGATGCATGCGTCGTCCCCGCAGGTAAGCCAAGCGCCCATGCAGGGAATTGGCAATTTGGCATGCGCCAGCCATGCCAAGCACGCTTCTGATTGATGTTATGTTACTAGTACGGTTCAAAGGCGCTCATGTTCTGGCCATCTAATCTATCGTCTGCACGCAGCTCACAGGCAGGGACTAGCTACAGCTAGCCAGCCGCCGGGGAGGAGGCGCCGTGCCATCCAGCTTCGAACGTCACCGGGCGCTGGCCATTCATGACGAATCGCTGCGGACCGTGCTGTTCGATGGAGCGTGCGCAGGGGTAGAGCGACAGAACGGTGAGTAACAACGTGGCCTCCCCTGCCCTGCTCGATCCGTAATCCATTCGACGCCACTCAGTCCCATTTGGATGGTGTTTGGCTCAACGAGTTCAGATGCCACTGTAATCGGAGCTGGGATGCTTGACTCCGATCTTTGTTTGGAAACAGAAAAAAGGATTATATAACACTGACTACAAAGGGTAGGAAGCAAACAGATGGAATGGTAATATCATTCTCGCTTTACGAAGAGTCATTCTAGATTACATAAAAATTAAACTTTTCTAAATTTGATCAAATTCATAGAAAAAACATATATTAACATTTGTATCTCTAGTGAAGTTTACAACAAAAATATATTTCATAATCAATGTAGTAACACTTATTCAGTATCATAAATGTTAGTAGTTTTTGTATAGATTTAGTTAAATTAAAAATTATTTGACTCTCTAGGAAACGAGAATTGCATTCCTTTCAGGATAGAGATTGAGTACATAATAAGTATCGTGTTAGAGGTTTGAATATAAGAGTTTGCGAACTTTGCCAATTTCGATGTCGTTGTAGATGTTGACGCCTCAACTACACAATTCTCTATTCGTATACTTGTAGCTTTGGTTGGTTCAGTTCGAGTTGATACAAAACGAGTTAGCAGCAAATGGTAGTGGCGTAGTGGTGCATTAAGGACTCCGGAAGCAGGATGAGCAGATAAGAGACATGTTCTCAGCCAAAGGAGTGTCGAGAAAGAAGATTACCCGGGGCCACGGTGTCTGATTGACTGAGCCCAACATCCTTTCTATCCTGTTGTTGTACAGCGAGAAACAACTGACCACGAGTTACTTTGCTACTAGAACATGCGGGTTTCCTTTCCTTATTACAAAAATGCTAGACAGTATTCCATCCGTGTTGAAATATAATAATGAAATATATTCCATCCATGTTGAATATATGTATTGTCATCCGTGTGATTAAAGGGAATTACATGATAAATATCAAGTAACAATATCAAAGTGTAGCCATCTCCTAAAACAGGTGACGATTTTCGGAGGCGGCCATTTTATTTAAGGAGACAGTCAAAATTGACCGCATCAAAAAATCGATTAACAGAGGGCTTGTTCGGCAGGCTGGTTGAATAAGCCAAAATATTGTTCCGTCTGGTTTGTTGTGAGAGAAAAATACTGTTTGTTGAAAGACACTGTTCATGTGAACAGTGCCCGCGTGAGTGGGCTGGCCAGCCCCAGCCAGCCGAACAAGCCCAGGGTCGGGCCTCTTAAGAGATCCGCCTCTAAGAATAGCTTCTATTTTGATACCTCTATTAATTGGGTCAAATCCATTAAGTCCAGCCTAGCCCACATAGCAAACCCTAGCTATAAAACATCCAGTTACATGGCCATTCACTCTCTCCCTCTCTCTCTCTCTCTCTCTCTCTCTCTCTCTCTCTGACACACACCAGCGTCGCGCTCCCCCCCCCCCTCTCTTGCTCTCGCTCTCTCATCGGTGGTGGCATGGCTCCACCAGCGCCGCAGCTCACATAGGGCCCTCAACGCTCACACAGATCCAGCGTGGAACACCTCCGGTGCGTGTGGATCTGGTGAGGAGCAGTGGGGATGCGTGGATTCGGCGAGGAGGAGCAATGACGGTGCCCGGTTCCGCGAGCGGTCACAGTAGCTTGCCAATGGGCTCGGTGGTCTTGTTTTTCTTTTTTTCTATTTCCGGAGGCGAGCACTTGACCGCCTCCGAAAATATCAATTAACGAGCACTTGAGGTCAACCTGCCTGCTTAAAAAATCGATTTGATTGTCACGAAAATATGCTCAGTTAGTTTGGATGCCCCCTCCCGTACCCCACACACACAATTTATTGTCCAACTTAACCTAAAAAAAGATCGGAATTTCTCATCGTCTATCTCCAATATGTTCACCTAAAATACAAGTAGTAGTTCTTACCAGATATTCGCCCTTTCTCCAACACCCACCCACAAATGGGTTTCACACAATTTTTGGTTGTCCAACTTGCCAACCTAAAGAAAAGATAATTTTAATTTATTTTGGGTTTGGATGCTAACCAACCATAATCATAATCAATCATTTAGGCAAACACTCTGATTATTATAATGCATAATCCTGATTATAGTAATCTTATATATAATTTAGATTATAATAATCCAAATGTGATCCAAACAAACTCTTATTGGATGAGTGTTAGATAGTTTAATCACATGTGGATGGATGGTGCAAAATTTAGTTGTGTGGTAGGGGAAAAATGCCTAACGGCTTGGTTCTATAAACACAGGAGTCCTTCCCGATACAAGTGGACTGGAGTGAAAAATAAACTAATTTTCACTTCAATTTCTCTCATTCTCTCAATATGCCTACATTGAAAGGGACTATCATGTTTTCAAACGACGTCTATGTGGCTCTTGATGATGAACACTTCTTTTTTTCGGCTACATATAATGAACATTAACATTAACTTTGTAAATTTGACAGGGCAAGCTAGCGTGTGGTGCCATGATATTCCAGGCTCTGTGTGGCTTCCTGCCATTTCTGGATGCCATCAGTGATTCGGTGACCAATCTTCACAGCTCCATTGCCTTTGAGGACCCAAGTTACAGTGGGCAGTACATCAGTGGCCTCAACAACGACACCGATGAAGAAGCTAAATCCATCCGCGTCATCGAGGACGACAGCGACGACGCTCTCGGCTGGCAGCTCTGGACGCTAGATTTGCTCGACACGAGCCACGTCCACGTCGACCTGGTGTTCCCGTGCGCGTGCCATACACACACTGCAAGTGTTGGCAGCAGACCCAGCTCTCGACGACCGTCGCATACGAAAGCCATCTTCAGGAGCAGGAGCAGCCGTGGGCGTGGCAGCTCGCTGCGGAGGCTGGTGGCGACGCACGAGGAGTACCTGACGTACGCCGTGGTGGTGGCCACGCTGCAGGTGTTCCTGCGCCTGACCCACGCCACCGTCACCACGCTGTTCCTGCCGATGCTGGCGCAGGCCACGGGGTGCGGGCGCAGCAGCTGGGCCGCGCAGATGGGCGACGCCGTGGTGGTGGTGGTGACCACCTGCGGCGTCCTCGGCTCCGCCCTCGCGGCCAGGCAGCTCGGGCGGGAGGCCATGTGCGCCATCAGCGGCGTCCTCATCGTCTTCTGCCAGGTACGTACGGACTCCGTACATACACACGTACAACAGTTGTGGCATCGCCCACATGGTGATATGGTGGCATTGGTGGCAAGCAAGCACGTGACGTGACGACTGTTTCTGGCAGATCGCGGTTCCAGTCGATCATGGCGGCGCACGCGGGGCTGAGCCTGAGCGGCGGCGCGCGGATGACGGGCGGGCACGCGGCGGAGATGTTCGCGCTGGCGTGCGCCGTGTCGGGCGGGTTCGGCTGGGCGTGGGGCGCGCTGTTCTGGGCGGTGCCGGGCGGGGGCATCCGGTCCGTGGGGCAGGCGGCCGGCGCGGCGCTGGGATTCGGGCTCGGCTTTGCGCAGATGCAGTGCTTCCTGCTCACGCTGCGCCAGCTCAAGCACGCCGCCTTCGCGTACTACGCCGTCTGGATCTGGTCCTGACCCGAGCCCTGACCCGTGACGTGACCCGCACGCCGCCGGCCGCGCCCGGCGAGCCCACGGCGGCGATATGATGCCGATGCGCGCGTGCGGTGCGGTGCATGCATCGGTCCGATCCGTTGACAGGCACGCAGCAGCGTCGTCAGGGAATAATGGGCACCGTTTTGGGAACTTTGAGGAGCCTGGTCCTGCCTGCACGATGGCAATGGCATCGCATCGTATCTGCACGCACGCTGCTGCAGCTGTGCTCGCCGTACGTACCAGGCTGCTGCTGCACTGGTAGTATTCGCTGCACTCGCCCAGTCGCCCGGCAGCTTCAGCTGATGAAGCGACGACACGCACATCCATTCTCGCTTGTGTACATGAGCCAATGAACTTGGCATGCATGATATGGTCCTTACTCCGTCAAAGATGTAAAGTTGTGGATTACTGGACTGATCAGGGATTGATATCTTTTCAAGAAAGAGGGGCCGCATATTATATTTGGGACAAATATAAGGAAAAAACACACACACATGCAGGAGGAATTAGTACATGTACATGCACTAGTTATAAAAGCAGATTCACTTGGTATCTGAGTCTGAGTCACAAAGGAAAGACCAGTCTCAGTAGTGAGTTTAGTAGCGTTATTTTGAAGAATGTCACATCAAATAAAATTCAATGAAACTTGAATTAAACAAACACTTTCAATTCATAGTTTCATTCTATAGTTTCATAACCATTCAATTCCATGATTCATCGCGAGTTGGTAACTGTGTCAGCAGAGTTTCATCCCAATGAAACATATTTTCTCTCTCTCTCTTCTTAAATATTGTGCCACATCATCAAAAATGCATACGTGACAGTTTATTAAATGATGATGAAACTTGAATGAAGCTTTCACTAAGATTGACCTAAGGCCCTGTTCGCTTGAACTTATCAGCTGACTTATCAGCTAGAATCTATATTATTTTTCTTTCACAACAAAATAGCTTTAGTCATCTTATCAACCGGCTTATGTATCAGCCAAACAGATATGCATGCATGGTCCAATGTGTACATCGACACCAATGCAAGTCCTTCAAATTATTGTCAATTGATTCCCAGGATGATGACGCTCTTGCAAAGCTGCTTTGACGCGGTCCAACAACTTTGGTGGCCGAATTAATACCCCGGACCAGCAGTCCAGCACAACAGTCCTACTATATGTACTAAATACCAATATGCGATTACCAGATAAGCATGTGGTGGTACTAGCGTACGTAGTGCACATATTCTGCGTTACCAAAAGCTCTCTGCTGCTCCAGTGCGCCTTGTCACTCACGCCACTTTGGACTTTGGAGATCGGCCCCGGCATCTAATCGGTCGACGAAGCGATCCGGAGTTTCCGTGCCCTGATCACCCGGTGCTCCGCGCCGTCGCTCGTTCCAGCCGGGGCCGCGGGGCGCCGGGGCGAGGCCAAGTGCCAAGTGCAGCGTACGGGCGCGCACGGCCGCCACTGGCCGGGCGACACAAGTGCCCGACTGAGACTGACCGCAACGCGTCCGATCGAGGTCGAGGGGACGTGAACACATCATGGCTTCACGTACGCTTTGGTTGACCGCGAGCGAGCGCGAGGTGGCGCTGGGCTTTCAACGACGGCATGATGGCGCGGCGCGGCGGCCGGCCAATCCACGTTAGACGATGAGTCGATCGATGAGGCACCATTCGGCGGTAGTCCGGTGGTTTTTACCTCTGTACCACGAGCGCTTGGCTTTTGACTTTTTACTTTTTGAGAGCCGCGGCATGTGAGCGGCGCCTCAAGTGCCGTGCATGCATGCGTGCGGTGCGCGGTGCGCGCCGCTCCAGCTCCACCAGCCAGTCACGGTCGGCTGGTCTCGCTCGCTCTCCCTAAAGTTGAAAATGGACGAGATAAATCCCATTTCATCCGCAACCGTATACCGTATTCTCCCGTCTGTTTTTGTTTTTTCTAGGAAAAATGGAAACGGGATCGAAAACGGGACAGTGTTAAACGGGAGCAGGACCGAAAACGGTGGAGCGTTTGTCCATCCGTATTTGCGAAATCCCGTTTTTGACCGGGATATCCCGTTTTTATCCCGTTTTTCATCAATCCGGGATAGGCAGCCCAGCACAGCCTACAAGCCCAATGTGGCCCAAAATACGCAAACCATATCTTATCGCTATCTAGCTCTAGCCGGCCGCACCCGCGCCGCACTCCGCGTCTCCGCCGCCCTCCCCCCGTTCCACGCACCACACCCGCAGAGCGCAGACTCGCGAGAGTCGCGACTCGCCTCCCCTAGGCGTCGGTGCGGTGACGCCGACGCTGCCTCCACCGTCCGGCCGTCCCCACTTCCCCGTCCGCACTCCGCCGCGCCCTCTGACCCTCTGCTGTCCATGACTCCCTGTCCTGCTGATGTCGCCAGCTGGATGAGAAGATCGTGGTGGCTCCATGCCACCTGAAAAGCACCTGGGCCTGTTGAGCTACCTTCGCCTTCCAGAACCGCCGTTCCACCTCCCTCTGTCAAAGGCAGCACGAGCACATCTATTTCAGTTTTAGGTAAACCTCCTCTTGGACTCTAGGTTCTTGGATTTGTAGTCTTTACTCTAGGTTCTCTGTTGCAGATTTGCACTAGAAATTAATACAAGTTGCATTTTAACTAATTGATAGGGTCCAAGAGGAAAGAAAGTGACGTTGCTAGTAAGGGGGCACTTGTTGTGTCTGGGTCTTCATATTCAGCACATAGAGTACTCATGAAATTCCACTTAGTGGTAGTGGCACTGGCACTGATAGTGGCACTGGCACACCAGCAAAAACACAGGGACAACAACCAGGTATTGATGGTAGTCACGCGCAGAGACAGGGCCAAGGTGTCAAATGTGCCGCAGATATTGTTGCTGTTGATGATGATGGAGTGGCAGATGAAGTTATTCCTGGTAAAGGGAAGAGGCAGAAAAAGTGCACATCAGAGGTGTGAAACTATTTTACTAAGAAAAAGGTGATAGTCAAGGTGAGTGGAAAGAAATATGAGCAGCTATGGGTTTTTTTGCAACTTCCCAAATTGCAATACGAAGTATAGAGCTGAGTGTAGCAATGGTACTACTGGGTTCAGGAACCATCTAAAGTCATCACATAGCATTATAAAGGGGCAGCTACAGCTCAAGGCAGAAAAGGATAATGGGAAAGATGTCACAACAATACAACCCTACAGGTATGATCAAGAGGCCAGTGTGAAAAATTATATTTGGCAATAATCATGCATGAGTATCCTTTCAATATTGTTGAGCATGACTATTTTGTTGAATTTATCAAGTCTTTGCGGCCTAGCTTTCCATTGAAGTTTAGAGTCACTACTAGAAATGAAATAATGGATATATATCTAGCTGAGAAGGAGAAGTTATATGCATATTTGAAAACAGTCATATGTCATTTTAGTACTACCATGGACATATGGACATCATGTCAAAACAAGTCTTATATGAGTGTCACCTTACATTGGATAGATGATAATTGGCATGTTCAAAAGAGAATAGTAGCTTTCTTTCAAGTAGAGGGACGACATATTGGTCACAAGTTGGCTGAGGTTTTTACTGAAGTCATGGTTAAGTGGTTTGTTGAGAAGAAATTATTTACCTTGACTTTGGACAATGCATCAAACAACATGGTTGTTGTTACTGATTTAATTGATGACCTTACAGAGAATAGTAATGCGTCTTTGGTGTGTGATGGCGCGTTTTTCCATATTAGATGTGCAGGTCACATTCTCAACTTAGTTGCTTGGGATGGGCTAGCTGTTATTAACAAAGCTCTTGGAAAGATGAAATCATTGGCACTAACTGTAAAGGGATCTCCCTTGCAATGGGAGGAACTCATAAAGTGTGCAAGAGAGTGTGGGTTGGATACTTCAAAGGGCATTCAGCTTGATGTTACAACTAGGTGGAACTCAACATATTTGATGCTAAGGGATGTCTTGCATTTCAAGCCTACTTTCTTAAGGCTAAAGACAGCAAATCGCAGTAAGTATAAGCAAATTTCTCCTACTGATGATGAATGGAAGATGGTTGTAACAGTTTCTCGGTGCTTCTTCCAATACTGCTCTTGCTATAGCATGCTTCCTTAATTCAAGATATAAGCACAAACTTGTAGAGTACTACGTGAGAAAGTTATATGGTGACTACTTTTAAATTAAACTTGATGAATTTATTAGTGTTCTTAAGGACTTGTATAAGTCTTATGCTACCTCTACAATTGAATCCTCAAAGGCAAAGGGTGTTGTGAGTGCAAATGAATTGGTCAGCCCAACAGATCATGAGAGTAAAGATGCTAAACTTGAGAGTTTCTTATATGACGATTGTGGACCTGATAGAAATGAAGTAAATGAGTTAGACAAATACATGGCAGAGCTACTATTGAAGCAAAATCCATTTGATATTTTAGCTTATTGGAAGAACAATACAGATAAATATCTAATTCTTGCACAAATTGCTCGGGATATGATGGCAATACAAGTGTCAATAGTAGCTTTTGAGTCTGCATTAGTGGGGCTAGGCGAGTTGTTGATCCCCATCATAATCGTCTAGATCCTGAGATGGTACAAGCACTGATTTGCGCCAAGGATTGGATACATGCAGCAAGCAAAGGTAATATTTTCCTTAGTTCTTCAATCTAATTGTCACATATTATTTTCCTAGCTGATCAATCTGAAGTACAATATTGCGTGGTCTTTATTTAGATTTTTAATCCCAAATACATTCCTACAATTGTGGCTGAACTGTCATATCCGAGATGGTATCTGCTAGTACTAGTCCCCCCACCACTGATGATGATGAGGTATTTAGCTTGGCTTCTGAAACAGTTCTGTAATAACTAAAGACAATAACATAGACTTACATTTCCAATTAATCATGAATATATGTCCTGAAAATTGTAGGGAGAAGGACAAAGTGCTCTAGATGCAATGAATGAAGATGGTGAGCTATGAAAAACTGATGTGCCGTGGTGCTGTGTGTGCTCGCTGCTGTTGGTG